ACCTTATTCGCAATGCACCAATTGTTTCTCCTCTTAAAAGCAATTGTTTTTCTAGTTTTGTTTATTATGTATTTTACCGATATAATTCAATAGCGATTTTAATTGTTAACCAGAATTAATGGTTAGATTTTGTATTACGATAGGATAACTTTGTTGTGTTAATCATCTTAGCAATTTGGCAGTTATGAGAGGTACTTCTTTTCAGTGTATATGCCGTTTTGTTTAACTGATAATGTTGATCGATAATGAAACCTTTTAGGAGCTGTACGACAATCTCATGGAATACCTCAACGAACGAGGAATCAATGGTGCATTTGCACAGAACCTGATCCGCTTTGCTACCCATTACGAGCACGCGCAGTACATTTCGCTTCTTCAGAAAATGCGTGCGTTTGTCAGCAGCTAGTATTCGGATGATACCCGTTTTGTACTGATTTCCTATTTTGACAGAAATTGCATCTTTTTTCAGCTTGTGCCAATGTTCTGCAACAGCAACAGCTAAATTGAGGAATTCAGAGCAATCGATCACTTTTAAAATTGATAACGTTTTCATTTAGGTTAGCATTTGAATAAATTTTGTCTATATTAAAAGCATATCCTCTTCAGTTCCGGATGCCAATTCGATTATTGAATTCATTTTATTGTTGATTGGCAACTCTACGTAGGAACTAGGCTATTTCTGTTAGTAAGCTACTCAGTCAGTTTCGATAACCGTTTATCCTATAGGGTGATGGAAGCAAACGCGACGGACATTGTGTGCAGCGTTACTTATATTGTACCAGAGTTTGAGTTCAGAAAAAACAATAGGAGTCTAGAACAAAGTCCTTCGATAAACTGACGCGGGTTAATTTTGGCCGTCAACTGTGTATGATGGTCGATTGGAAAGTAATAATCACTTCCTTTCTAGAGGCATTCGCAACAGGTTCCCATACTCTCGTAGCTGCGACTTCTCAATCTTGAGAAGAATCTGCCGTACGCAAACGCTGTATCGGATATTTCTACTTCTGGTCATGTCATACATGATCCCGCGATTCATCTGAGGACACTCATTTCTGCCGCTTGTCCCAAGATGAGTTTTTCAGTTATGGTTCGCGATTCATGACCGTAGATAATCATGGGGTAGAGATCGGTTTGAATATCCAGAGCTTATTCTTCAGACCCATCTCTGCTTTAATAATAGTTCATGCAGAACGCCTCTGGCTACTCCGATTCGCCGGTCGATCTGTCCCTAAAATTTTTAATCACTAATAAATGCGACGCTGATTTATTTTAACCTATCCATCTGCTCTACTGCTCATCTGTTTATCTGAAAACGAACAGGGAAATGATAAAGCATTAGGATTTTCGTTTTAGATGTATAAATGTATGCCTGTTTGGTTGCACTCGACTTTCCAGATAATGCAAAAGATGCCAACAAAACAAGGCTGTGCGTTAACATCTAAGTTGATATATTCGCCATTCTGGTTGCGTCTGACAATGCGCCTTATTCATGTGCAACACGAATGTGAGAGGGAACAGAACGTAAGTTTGGAAAAGACCAGTGTCATAGTTGAAATGCTTGTACTTAGCGTCACTTACTTTAACACAGCGTCTGCTATCAACTTATAGTGTCTTGATACATCGTAATATATTGCCATCAATCCTATATCTTTGCAGGTATTTCCATAGCGTGCTGCCCGTCATCTGGTCACAGGCTTTGCTTAGATCTCCATAAATCAATATGAAACGGATGAACGAATTTAAGTGATTTTTCAACAGTCTGGCATAAGGCGCAATCCTTGTCAAATGTGCTTTGGCCGACCTTAACCTGAGCCTTCTATGCTCAAGTCAGTTTTTACGTGGCATACTTTGTAGCATTTTTGGTAACTTTTCTGGGGAGGCTCAATCAGGTAATGCAGTGATTGTTGAAACAGTTCTTATGGTCTGTATTCTTGAAGACAATTAATATATCCGCGCGTATCTAGTTTACTTGTGTCTTCCCCGCAAGCAGTGCAGTGTGTGAGACATTTGCCACTGCATCATTTGCCCACCTAGTGCTCTAAGCATTGTATGACATATTTCATTGATTCTTGAAGCCTTTCCATATAATCGACTTCACGCGATTCTTCCTGCTATTTCTCAAGGTTTAGGTATTCTTGTCATCGCCGAAATATATCGTTTCTTGGTCAGAAGTCATCGGAAATTTTTTTTGGGACTCTTACCCTTGGCTACTTTACATTTCAGAGGCAACATTTTCTGGCAGAATGTCCTGTTTTCCCGCTAGTTATTCGACTCCAGCACCTCACCGATCTTTTCCCTATAAATGTCCTAAGCTTTGGCCACTGATTTCGTTGCAGGTTGCTCTCTTCTTCATTTTGTATTCGCATTGAATGCTCCTTATTTGAAAGTTATCTCGTGATTGCAGCTTTCTTTTCGCTGACGGACTGTTAAATCACTCTTATCCCTCAGGAAGTTCACTTTTGATCTCTAAGCAGTGGACAACCCCTTTTAAAGACAGTACTGAAGACACTTTAATATCCGTTTCTGTGAATCCTAGCGCAAATGCGGATGAAGTTGGTACAGCGCTATCATGAACTCGCAGAGATGCATAGAGTAGAGGAAGCAGGTATGTTATTAAGGACGGGGAAATTAAATGCATGATTTCGAGGAACAACGGTCTCAGCCCAAGGTACTAAGAACTTGACAATTGTTGGCATTACTTCAAATTTCAATACACATTTTTGAAGAGAGAAAGATATTGATCACTGATCGTGCAAATTTTTGTATATTTGCTCTGGAATCTGATGAACTGTCAGTCGAAAATTGCTTAAGCCTATTTTTATTGCTGACCGACATTTATTTAGACCACCGATGAGCAGATTAAGTTTCGGCATTCCGGGCCTGTGTTTATTATAAAAACAATGCCTGTAGTATGTAGTAAGATGCTGTAATCCGTGAGATTCACTTCAGTAAAACGTGTTGTCGGATGCGTAAAAGTGCTCTTACCTTTAAGAATCAAATTCATATATTAATTCAAATCAACACTGTTTCACAGCAGAAATTCCAACAGTTTTGAATGACAATGCCAGAATCATACGGACGATCTTCTCGGCGAGTTAATGGCAGATAAACAAGTATTCGCGTTATATTCCTTTAACTTTAGGATCCGACAAAACTGTTTGATGCATATGCTCGAAAGTGCAAACGAAATGCTCAGACAGGCAAGGCCACTTATGTTAATAAAAATTTGTAATTGTTGGAATGCTTACACTACAATTAAACCGAATTTATTTTTATCAATGGCTAGAGTGACCTTACGCTTTTGAAGGCAGATTCCACGGCAGCTATGTGACAAGCACGGATCATATTCTTCTGTTTCTTTCCAACGTACATCTCAGACTGGTACTCATTTATCAGCCTCTGAAAGAAGAAAAACGAGTAACCCCGATCGAATTTTGAAATCAGGAGCCATCGGCTCTAAGTCAGACTATATCTCGACCAAGTAATAGCGTTCTGAAGTAAGGTATGGTAGGTCCTTTACTGAAAGGAATTCATGATAAAGACAAGGGCTGTCTGCCGGTGGAACTGGATACGTGCAGAGTTGGAGTTTGAAGCCAACTTGTTACACATTATGCGGCAGGGTTGATGCTAGGACGACCACATAAACATGACCATGTAAATAAGGGCACTTCTACGCGGAGCTCTCTCAGCGTAAACGCTGTAAATATCTGAATTAATTACTTTTCTAAAGAAGACCTAGAGGTAAGTAAATGTTTCGAGGATAAAACATTTTTAACCGGGAAAGCTTCCGCATTTTCAACTGTCCAAAAGCCCGTGTCGAAGGCGAGATTGCACGCAACGGATCTATTGCTCCGCATGGATTGCTAATGAAGATGGCGAAGTGAAAAGAGTCTAATGCTGCTTTAATGTCAGTAAACCTGACATAAAAATTAAATAGAAATCGGCGCTCACAGAAGGTTGTTCTCTGGGAATGCTGCTTTTGAAATTCTACGAGAATTCAAAACAAAGTTTGCTAAACATCTGCTGATTTGGCATGAATTCTGATCCTCACAAAAAATCCAATTGTGATACTTTTATTTTACTTGATAAAAATGACAATCTTTCCTCATAGCTTGAGTATTCCAACAATGAGGGATTGAATAACTGCAAAAAATTTGGTTCAAATCAGAAACACAGCAGCCATTCTACATTCATAAGGGTCCTTATAAAAGGGAACAGTAGTGGTCAGTTTTACATATTGTAAAAGATGATAGCGCGATTATCTTATCTTTTGCAGTAGCAAACTACTTCGCCAATTCCTGTTTGATTCTGGAAAGTTTCATTCTTTGTGCAAAGTAAATAAGACAAACTAATAATAAACATACCTGCAAACATTTAATACCATCTGCGGATTTACTGTAGGATGTTTCTGTTAGGTGAATAAAAATATGTGATGAATATACTTATCACCGGGAAGTTTGTAGTACAATAATCCGTTCTAGCGTATTGCCCCTGATTAGCTGAAATATCCTTCTTCGAGAATCAGAGTAATTATAGCCTGAAATAACTGCTCTGTTTTGTTAGAAACCGATAGTATGTTGATCGTTTTCCACTGGTCAGCCGATTTACCATTGCCATCGCTACCAATATGACCACGACGGTTTCGTCTCAGGGTGAATCATCGGAAGACGTTTACGGAAGCGAGTTGAGCTTTGGAGGGTTGTCTTCGAACGATGACTCGCGGGTCATTTCGGCGAAAGTTCAACAACTGGCGAGCGAAATTTACCGCGAGTTTGAGGCAATGATTCAGAAGTACGATGAGGAATCGGTGAAGGTAGGATTTGATTTTACTCTAGTCGTGCTTCTTGTGTCTTCGGATTGTAACGAAGTTTTTTAGAATCTTATGCCGCTGGTGGTGAATGTCTTGGAGTCGCTCGATTTGGCGTATTTGGAGAACGAGGAACATGAGGTCGAGATTGAACTGTTGAAGGAGGACAATGAACAGCTGATCAGCCAGTACGAGCGTGAAAAGCAGTCACGGAAGGCCATTGAACAGGTGATGATAGCAGTCACAAAGTTAAGCAGTATAGTGACCGATAACTTAAAGGTCGCTTTAGAAGTCAAAAGTGTGGAACGACAACAGAAACATATCTGTTATGATTTCCATTAACCAGTTATAGCCGTCTTCTCATCATTAACTAATTAACAGATAGTCTTAAGATTTTTGTAGATTTGTAAAAGGTCCTCTGGGAACTTTGATTTAGTTTGTGAAGTAGTTTTAAGAGCTGCTTCTCTACCTTTCTTGTGTATTATTTTTGATCTTTATTTTATCAGCTCGCTAAGCTAATCCACATAAGTAACGAACAAAATAGGGAATAGATACTGTCTTCTAGAGCGGTCTAAACTTGTACTGTGTTGGTTTCTGTG